CCTAGTGGGCTCCCTTGATAATGAGATCACCCTGTCCCTTCTCTCTCAGAGTGGCCACAGTCCTCTCTGTGAGACCACCTAGTACTTGTCTATTTCTGTACCACTTTTGGGCACATCCCGATGCTTCTGTGCCTTACTGGGTCACAGAACCTCTTCTTCACTGTCTCTGGCTGAACATATCTCATCGCCATCTTGCCTCTGGATGTCACTGGCTTTCTCAGCTCTATCAGGAAAGTAAGATTCTCATTCTCTCTGCTCATGACTCCCCCAAATTTGTCTGGGATTTCTATTGTTCTCCCCAACTCCATAGTTCAACCCAAGATATAGGATACAAGGATCCTGTTTCTCTGGGACTCACAGCATCTACTCATTCCAGCTTTTTCCAAATAAATATCTATTGAATGAATGGATGAGGGCATGATAGACTAGTTCTTATTCATCCACTGTTCTTTAAATCCTAATACTAGTATTTTTCAGTTTTTTTCATTCCTCCATAAAGCATAGACTTTTGAAACCCACCATCAGGACAAAAAGAACTAGGAGGAAAATAAATCAAGCATTATTTTAGCACAAATCACCCAAAATGTTAATACAAAGTTTGACAACCCACTTTATCTACCAGACCTGGTTCTACATCATTTCAGACTATTTCTGAAAATCTCCCAAAATTAATTCCCCCAAAACCAACAAAAATTAAAAAATATATTTTGAAAAAAATTCTATTCTTATCTGATTTGCAGGTTGATTGCCAATACCCTGGTGCAGGAACATGTCTTTTTATTTTCCACAATAAAGAAAAAAAAATTTTCTTTGATAAAAAAGTTTTTTTACATTTAAAACACAAAATTTTTAAGAAAGTAGATATTAAATATTCTCACCACAAAAAAATAGCATGTGGGCTGATGGATCTGTTAACTAATCTTATTGTGGTAATCATTTCACAATATATGTTATATCAAATCATCATATTGTACACCTTAAACTTACATAATGTTATATGTTGATTATAGCTTAATAAAGCTGGAAAAATAAATTATTAGGATTAAGAAAAAATAAAATTGTCATTAATCCATTAGTTCTTTGTGGAGGAATCAAAACTTAAAATACATATACAATAATATGGTATTAGCAGAAATAGAAAGCCAACCACATACTAAGGTCATTTTATAAATTGCCACAGTTTGAATACAAGAGAATTAATTTTTATTTATCCAAATTAAAAGAATCTTTTCAAAGATTATCTTTAGAGAATATTATTGAAAAGGACAATGTCTTTTTCAGACACGTTCTGAAATTCAAATCATTTTGTAGCAGAGTTACAGAATGACATTTTAATTAAATTTTTTCTCAAAAAAAGAGTATTATCTCAAACTATTGTCATTTTACACAGAGTCCATCATCTCTCCTCAGTGCTGTTTCAGCACTGTCTAACGATTTCTACTGTTTCCTGTCTAATGATTTCCATTATTTCATCTCACCCAATAAATTACTGGTTACTAAGTATACTAAGTGTATGACTTGTCCAACCAACTATGATTTACATGAGGACTCAAATGGCGACTTTGTAATTTCTATATTTCTAGTACTTAACATTATGCCTGGCATACTATAGGCATTTAAGATGTTGAACTGAATTGAATTAAATTCTTTGGTAAGTTGCGTCTGTATTTCAGTATGAGCAGCCAAAGTGACCTATTCTTTGTCTAGCATAACACTGATACTCAGAGAGAGACAGAGTCAGAGAAAGAGACACAGACACAGACACAGAGAAATAGAGCGAATAAATTAAATTAACAGAACAAGCAAGAGATGAGAATAAATGGAATCGACAAACCTCTGAACGACTACATAGATGATAATTAAAAAAAAAAAGTATTAGTCAGGATAATTAACACAGGCTGCTATAACAACAACAACAAAAAATCCCAAACACCAGTAAACTGTCACAATTAAATTTTATTTCTCCCTCAGGTAGAGTCCAATGCAGGTTTTCCTTATTAGGCTATTCACCTGCATGGGTCTCCTCAAAGATGTGTCTCAGGGAATCAAGTTTTTTTCTCTTTAGCAAGTCTGCCATCTTTATCTTGATTGTGCATCCTCGAGACTTCAGATACAAGGAAAAGAAAGAACAGGAAGAATGCATACCTACTTATAAATGGTTCAGGCTGCAAGTGAGGTATCATCTCCTCTGACATTCCACTGCCAAAAACTAATTACATGGCCCCACCTAGATAGATGGGAACTGGAAAATATAGTTTGGCTGCTTGTGGTGAGGAAAATGGATGTGGCGAGCACTGAGCCAATATCTGCTATAGTATATATTTAAACATCCAGACGAAATAGCCTCATTTACCTTGAAATCCTAATGAAAGATATTAACATAGTTCTGTCAAACTAGAAACAAAACTGCATGCTCTGCATGCTCATGGCCACTGCACGTATTACTTTGTGCTTAGACTGTTTAAACAACCTCCTAACTGGTCTCTCTGCTTCCACCATAGACCCCTCCAATAATTTGACTGTTCTGAGACATCGTTCCAAAGTAAAAATCTTATACTGCATAGATAAAAACTGTCCGGCGATTACTCATTTCTCATGGGAAAAATCCAAATGTCTCAGTATGGTATGATGTGATTCTTTAGGCCCATCTCTCTTCTCCCCATATCCCTCTTGCACTTGATTCTCCATCTGGAAAATCCTTTCCCCTGGTAGATAACTATATCCTTCAAGATTTAGCTCAATCTCGATGTCCTCTGTGAAACCTTCAGCCTAAACAAAGAGAAACCACTCAGCTTTGTGGCCAAGGCATCTCTCTTTGCCCACTGTCTTCCTTTACAGCATTTATTAACATATATGACATTTATATGCCTGCTTTCTCTATTTGACAGTGGGGTCCTTGAAAACAAGAATAGTTTCTTCTTCAACTTTGTATCCTTAATACCAAGCACGGTTTCTGGTACATTGTCTGGTAAGTTGGTCGCTTGATAAATGTTCATTGAATTGAATTAAATTCACTGTATGTGGACTAAAATGTGTTCACTTCAGCAGTTGCTGTCTCACTCTCTTTCCAATTCTTTAATAAAGGAAGAGTGGGATGTGGAAATAAATCTCCTGTATTTTAAATATCTTTATCAATCAAAACATTTCATCTCAGAGACTTGGAAACCAAAAATACAGTAAAGTTCACAGAAGAAGATGAGGTGAGGTCTTGGGTTAAATTTATTCTGTTTTCTACTGAAAGGAGTTTACATGATTTAAAATGGATAGCATGGTAAATTTAGAAAGAAAAAGCAACCATTCTAATCCACGGTGACAAGAATTTCAAATTATTTATCTGCCACCAAATTCCACTCTAGCATAGAATTTTGCATTTTGACTTGAAATTTACCATAGATGATACCACCTTTTCAGAAACCTAATTCTGTCAGAAAGCATCTAATGTAGCATACTTATTTCTAAGAGAATATCTCATTCTGTCTCCAGATACCAATCCAGTAAATGTGTATTTATTGGAATCATAATTTTGTGAGAATAGGAAGGAAAGATTATCAATAACACTCCTTTCAAAGAGCTGATTAGTATGTATAGCTTAAAGATAAAGGTCTCTTGAATGGCCTTGTCTGGGTACCCATCAATAAGCATTTATTGAATATCCAAGATCCACAAAAAATATGTCTCATCCTACATTAGGATAAATTATACTCATTACCACTATTCTGTTGCCCTTTATTCTAAAGATCAGCAGATTTATTTTCTGCCTCCCTCAAGAAAAAAAGTTATTTCATTTTTTAAATGTTGCACTCGATATTATTATCTGAATATAAATCACAGTACCCAGCATTTTCAAATTTCCAAATTTTATTTCAAACACGTTAACATACAGTTGTGAATAGTAACCATAATATTAACGAGGAGCAGAAATATTAAAATATAAAAATAAGTATCAAAAACACATACTTCATTTAATTGGAAAACACTCGACATGGAAATACAGATCCCCCACATCAAATAAATCCATTGCATCTTGGTATATGAACTTACCCTAAAACAAAACAAAACAACAAAAAGGCTCTGGGTAGCCATTAAACAAACTTCATGATTATTTGTAAGAAAATAAAGTGAAGTGCAAAGCCACAAAAAGAAAAAAAAAATCTCACCAAAAATGATCTCTGAGGTATATTTATATAGATTCCTGTAGTTAAAGGGAAAAAATAAAATACAAAATATCTTTCCTTATTTAAAATCTCTTAACCTCGAAGGAACAGACTATCTCTCATACAATAACCAAAGACACATAAATATCTACAATCAAAAATCACTTGCATCCAAATGATGATTTGCTCTTCCCAACCACCATTGGCGCTTACAAATCTTACCTCCTAGCTGTGTGGAATATACATTGTTTAATGTAAAGCGAGACTCACATGCTCGACCAAAAAATAATCTTTACCTTCATCTATATTTTGTGAAAATAAATTGAGACAAAACTAAATTCCAGTTCACCTGGAAGAAAAAGACATCTTTTCTGCCTGCTCTGGCTTCTCAGTGTGTGTTTATTAATCTCAAAGTGCTGTCTGACCTCACACCGACCATTCATCAGTTTTATCAGCCGTTATCACTCGCCCCTGCAGTGCCCCTCGGTGGAATGGCAGGAAAATTTGTAGAATCAGGTTTCGCAGGAAAAAAAAATGCATTGCACTTCCAAAGTGCCAGTCTATACTTCAAAAAAATGCTCCATTCGGTGTGGGGAATTTCCCTGGAGTATGTGATTGCATTTACTATGGGCATTGTCAAAAATCAAACTCAAGTATAAAACCAGAGTCTGGGATATTGCTATCTCAACAAGGAGGGCAAAAACAACCACAGGCAACATTGCTACACATTGAAATTCTTGCAGCCAGATGTTCCCGGGTTTTATCAAAATGTGATCTGATTAATGGATTATTGGGATGGTTGTGCTATAAATCGTGCTGTTAGTCACATGCATTCAAAATAGTTCCTACAATGCTAAAAAAAAAAAAAAAAAGTGGAGGGAAAGCTTTAATACTAGAAAGTATTTAAAGTGCCACAAATTGAGTACAGAGTAGAAATGGGAAAAAATCTACAAACTAGTGCCAGCATGCTTCAGGGAATAGAATGATTACATGAACTTGGCTGTTCATTAGTGCAGAGACATGCTCTAAGGATTAAATGAGATGAAGGGAAAGGGTGGTTTAGAAGCTAGTTTGTTTACAAAATGCAAAACTTGCATTTTCAAGAAAAAATAAAATTGAAATATGTATAAGCTTTTGATGACTAAATTACAAATGTCTTTGTAATTTATATATATATTCTATATATAAAAAGCAAGGAAAACTGCTGTGTTTATTAAATGAAAAATACAAGGTTCAATCCCTATAAAAACACCAAATGCATACCATTTAGGATAATGTCACTGATGCACATGTGACAACTAAATTACAAAACTCTTTGATGTACTATGTATGAAAACTAGCAATTATGGCCAATAAAATCAAAGGAAGAAAAAAACTAATTAACACTAACATATCATCTTGACTCATTAGCATATAAAATCTTATGCTTGCTCTAAAGTGCCAGCAATTGGCAATTCCCAAATTCCTAAGGATGCAGACAATAGTTCCCAAATAATTGGAGCCACCAGAGGTTTTAGTGGCTCTTGAGAGCTTTAGCATTACTTTCTTCTATAAAAAGGCCCAAAGCACATCAAAAACTTAAAAACCCACCCATCCCTGTCACCAAGAAGCATAATCCCAGGATTGTGAAGAGATTAGTTATGGATCCTAAGCAAATTATGATACTGCCTTATTTAAAAAAAAAAAAAAAAGATGGTAGAAAAGATATGGAATTCAAATTCAAATTTCAGATCAGATATATATTATCTCTGTGACTCTGAGCAAATCATTTAACCCTCCATCAAATGAGGATAATAATAATGTCTACCCCACAGAGTTGTGGTGAGGAAAAATTAGGAAAAATGGATGTGAAAATATTCCAAAAGTGGCAACAAAAAAACCACTCTACAAATGTTAATTCTTCCATTGTCTTGTGAGCAGGCTCCACTTAAATTTAGCAAGTAGGAAAAGTAGGAAAAGTACCCTGTTACAAAAATCTAAATACACTGAAAATAAACTGAGCATAATAGAAAGAATAACGCATCACAGAGGGAAAGACTCCATGAAACCTGGATTTAATAAAATTGACCAAAGCTATATGGAGAAATTCTGACAGAAATTTTCAGCAAGACATTGAATCTGTTTTTATACAGTGAGCAAACCCAGATTTAAAAAGCCCCTGTGGCTTCAAGATTTTATAACAAAACATTTGGAGGCTAAATGAATTGAAATTAAAAAGTAATAATAAAAACAAGACTTGGCTCCTGATACCTCAGTAAACATGTATTACCAGAAGATTGAAAAACTAACTGTAGCCAACAGCTGTATTCTTCTACAGCAGCAAATACCCTCTTAAATTCTTAAGGTTACAACAGAGACATCATTTAAAGCTAGAAAGGTCTAATTTTCCAAAAATTTCCTGGATCTAGGGTATTTCTGTATAAATGTACCAAATGAGAAAATGCATCGAGAACACTTTGTAAAGGTCATTGTGCCATACGAATATAAGATGTTATTAATATTAGAGAAATCTGAAAAGTTCTCTTGAATCTTGTAGAGTAAGCCGAGATCTGTGAAAATTATCAAATAAAGAATTCTACAAAATCGATATAGAAAATGCTTGTACCTCAATACAAACTATAAGAAATTAAGGGTAAAAAAATGAAATCCACAAGACAAATTCCTTTCCTGGCTTCACTAGTCCTTCTTCTTTGATGACATCGGCTTTGATTTTCATGTCACTCGGTCACACACACAGATCTTTGTTCATCTCTGGTCCCCTGTAGTTACTCCTGGTCTGAGTTATTGAGCTTTCAAATAACTGATTTCTCCTGTTGCTTCTCTGAACTCACACAGCTCAAACAATCAGCTCACCAGTTATTCATTCCTGACATGGTTTTAGCATCTGTGGCCTCTCCAACCTGCCACCACCTCGGTGGTGAAACCCTGCGCACAGGAGCAAAGGGTTCTAGGAGAAGGTCTCAGCGCAACCCCAGAGGAAAACTCATTTGCAAAACCAACTCATTAGTGATTGCTCTACTTAAAATTCCATTGAATCTTGAGTTTCCAGAGAGTCCTCTAGGCCTAACGGGTCCCCTACGCTTGCCTGTGAGTTTACGGTAAACCCAGAGTTTTTTAATGCATTATGAGCATTCATAAACTTCTGGAGGTATTTGGAGGTATACAACCAGTGATGTTTCAAGACATCTTCCATTTCGTAGCACTTGGACTGCCTGGCATTCATTTTCCGAAAGCGCCTGAACAGTTTGTTGCCAGACTCATTTCCTTCACTTGCCCAGGCTCCAATGGAGCCATCCCTCTCAATAATTTCAGGGACGTGTGCCAGAGTTTTGTGAAAATAATTGGTGATTTTGCCCTCATATCTATACTTGAACTTGGTAGAGAGGAGCTCTGCAAAACGCTGCGAATTGAAACTATACTGGCAGAGAGATTCTGGGCACTCTTTAGCAGGGCATGATGATCTCCAGACAGGTTTCATCTTCAGGTAAAGGTCCATCAGCTCCCTCAGAGCTTCGTGCCTCTCCTCGGAGGGAACTAACTCACAGACTGCTTCAACAGTCTCTTTGGTCATGAGCTTCCTGGCAAAGTTGCCATTCATTCTCATGATTGGTTTCAGGTTCATCTTCTTCCGGAGATGCTTGTCCAGTGTCGCCTGCCATCTTTTCCTTTCCTCTTTGGAGGCAGTGGGATTCTTATACACCTCCCCTATCTCTAGCTGGAAAATCTTGTAGAACTCAGCTGCATTGCCAATGTCACAGTGGAGTGCATCTATGGAAGGGACTGTCTCAATGAAGGGCTTGGCTGAGACCCCTTTGACCCGGTCCCGCAGTTCTTCCACAGACTCATGGTACGGGTTGGAGCGCCAAACCTCATAGCGCTCCAAGTTCTCTGAATGGCTTCTGGTTATGGAGTGAAAGACAAGATTCTGAGAGGCTTCCAGGCGGGTAGTATCACAAAGGGTACAAATGTAGACTGAGCCAGAAGCCTCGAGGCCTTCCACCTCTCGGACAAGTTTCTCATCATATCCGGTGCCCCTAAAGATGAACTTGAAAGTCCGGAGGATGCCTCCCATCTCAAGCATTAACTCGCTGCTCTTCATGGCCTCCCTCTCGGCAATGAGAGGGCTCAGGATGGCTGTCAGGGTCTCGTGGTCGGACTCATCTGCCAGCATAAGGCACAAGGGCTTGCAACACAATTCAGAGTTGGGTTTGGCTTCCTCAAACACCTTCACATTCTGTGAGCCATGTTCTATAGTGATTTTCATGACTGTGAACGAAAATCGAACTGCCTTTTCTGGAACTGCTGGCCCACTCCCGTGCTTCTCACTCACATCTCCCATCCCATCACAAGACTCCTTCACCACTACGGTGAAGGGGCCACTCAGGTAGTCATCAAGGTCTTGGGTTCTCATGCCTTCCATAATGTCTTCTTCCATGTCCATTAAAGCAGACACCAAAGCCGAATCATAGCGAAACCGCTTTGCAATAGTGTCCACTGGGTAATCGTCCACAGAGGAGGACAGCCCAGACAGTCCATCAATAATGCCCACGTCAGTGCTGGAAGACACGTTCTTCAGAGGTGGCTGCCACTCAAAGGGGTGGTAGCCCGGCAGAAGGATCTTCTCAGCAGTCCGAAGGGCGTGCAAAGGCTGAAAAATCTGCCTCCCTGTGATGGCTTTCACAGTCCTGTACATCTTGTGGTACTGACTGCAGCTGAGGAAGGTGTTGACACGGATGGCCAAGCAAACAGCTGCCTGCAGGCCAGAGCCCCGACCCTGCATGATGGCCTCCAGCTCATCGGCTTGTCTGTGCTCGTTTCTCGCCCTCAGCGCCAGCAAGAACAAGGTCAGGCACACAGACTTGACATCTCCACCTTCTTCTTTGTCAGCAAAGGCCTTAACTTGCAGCTTGAGCTCTCTCAAACGGTGTTTCTGAGCCCTCCGGGTCAGTGACAAAAGATGCTGGCGGGGCCGGCCTCCTTTATTAATATGCACGAAAGTCTCTTTGGAGTCCTTGTGGCTTGAGACATGGTGATTGTATTTTTCCAAGCTGACCTCCTCATTGCACTCTTGTGCTGGACATTTCACCATTAGGGAATTCAAGATGCTCAGAAAGGACTTCACTGGACTCTCTAGATCAGTCGGGAAGCATGGATATCGGCACGAGGGACAATAGCTGCCCATGACTTTGAGGCATCTGAGAATGCAGATCCTGCAAAATACGTGCTTACAGGTGGTCTCCACAGGGTCGGCCAGAATGTGTTCACAAATCTGGCAGGAGATAGATTTCACAAACTTTGCCGGGAAGTCCACCGCAAGGAGCTTGGTGCTAAGATGTATCTTACTGCAGTTGGCAATCTGCTTCATCATTTCCTTGCTGCTGATCCTTGCCTGAGCTCTTTTCTTGCCCTGACGGGCTTGTCTTGCTCGGTCCACCACCGTTTTGAGTTTTTTGCTGAGCTGCGCATTTGGCTCACAACTCTTCCTCTTAAGTGCCCGACGGGCAGTGTGGCAGATGTCACAGGAAGGTGTGTGGGGGTGCCACTCCATGGTTGCTTTCCTCGGGAAGTAAACCTCATGTGGGGTGCTGCTAAACTTCCTGTGCATGATGCTCCAGCAGATATGACAGAACTCAGTGGGGTGGATCGAGTCAACATCTGCCTTCACATCGATCCGAAAAACCTTGGCAATGAGGTCTGGCCAGGAAGTGGCTCTCTTTTCCTTCTTTCGTAAAAGGGCTTGGGTTTTACCATCCACAGGCCCATGGACTGGATATCTCCTACTGTGCCCATCGCTTTGAAAAGCATTCCCACAGATGCGGCAGAGATGTCGAAGGTTGGCTTGGTGGATTGCTTTGTCTCTTGCTTTTCCATCATCGTGGAACTTCTTCCAAAACTTAGGGTGTGGCTTTAATGCTGGTTGAGCCAAAGCTGGCTTCTGACCGCCAGCGTCATCCGGGACTACAGGAGATTGCTCTAGAGACGGTTTCCCCTCAGGGGAGTCTTTCTTTTCTGCTCGAGCTTCTTCAGGTGACTTTTCAAAGGATCTCACCCTGAACAGCTTAAATTTCCATTCTGAAAATTTAATTTGCGGGTGCTGTATTTCATCTGGGACAGAACTGAGTCCCAGCATGGGGGGCAAAGAGACAGCCATGCTGGCTGAAGTACCTGAGAACAATGAAAACAAGTCAGATTAGGGAAAAAATTTCAATATCTCACTTATATGTCTTAGAAGGAATACAAATTAATACATTAATTCATCCATAAAGTTACTTAATTTACCTCTTATTTTAATATACTTCATTAGATGCTGATTGTACAGTGGAGAACAGAGTCACTCCCTGTTCTGAGAGTGATTATGATTTTTATACTGTGTATCTAAGTACATGCACCGTCATGGTTTGTTTTAAATACATGTGTATGATTTTATTTCCTTTCCACCAAAACCTTAAGATCTTTGAGGACAGAATCTTTGAGTGATTCATCTCTAACTCTGAGGTTCCTAGGACACATTAAGTGCTTAATAGTTATTTGCTGAGTACATGCAAAGAAAAACTGCCTACTAATAACAAAGAAAAATCATATTTTTCACATTGTATTAGCCTCATTGCACTAGCTGGACAATATATTTCCAGCTTTTTAAAGCAGTCTCTTGGGAGGTTGGTTGTTTATTTTTTCCAGGAGGGTCATAAAGGGATGATAAAGCTATAAACCCAAAGAAACTAATTACTACTTGAAGGATGAAGTGAATTTTGAGGTTTACGAATGCAAACTAATAATAAGTATCATGGATAGTAATTATGCTTACAATTTTAATTAGTGAACGCTGCTGTAAATTATAAGGCTGTGTCTACATTAGAAACAAAAACCACAGAACTCTCTAAACCTGTAATAAAACATAGTATGCAAGTACGAGGATTCCAAAAGATTGTAAGATGAAAAATTCATGTAGTTTCATATAAAACCATAAGCAACTTTGAGGTATGTGTTGGGCTGCCATTCTAGGAGTCATTACTGGGCAATGGTCATTAGCTCTACAGTTTGTAATAAGAGGCAGGAGTAATAGTTTCCTTCTGGTAAATAACATTTGCAATTACATATGCCAGGAAACCCTACCAATCTCAGTTGTGATGCAGACAGCAATGGTGCTGTAGAAAAAAGTCTGAAAATGCCATTTGAGTCCTTTCTTGACCCAGTTAGCCCAATACTCTCAAAAGTCTTTAGGATACATAACCAGAAAAACAGCAACTTTACTTTCAACTTATCGTCTGTATCTCCCAAATTTGCCTGGGTTAACACTCTTGACACATCAATTACATCAAGTAACATTTTTCCCCTCAATTAATTAACCAAAACAATGATTGATTTTATATATATATATGTTATATATATTGGTTATATATAATAATATAAATAATAGTTAATATATATATACACACATATGTGACATTTATATATATATGTATATATGTGTGTGTGTATGTGTATATATATATATGAAATCACGTGGTCATGAAGACTAATCTTCAGGTGAACACACTTCAGCCAGGGGTGGGATTTGAGGGTGGGGTCATTGGTGGGGGACACGCAAGGGCCAATCCTGACTGCAGCTAAAAACTTTCTTTTTGGGTCATCCCTTTAAACTGCTGAAGTTTTTTCTCATGCATAGATTATGCTTCAGAGATTGATGTTTTTCTTAAAAACTGAAAGCCAATTTCCAAGACTTGGTTAAAAAGAAAAATCCTGTTAAACTATTCTATAGGCAGGACTAAACAATTCTAAACCATTTCCAACATTTTATCAACCTCAAAAGCATTTCAGCTGCAGCCCAACAAATATTTCAACATTCCTTATGGTTCTGTTATGTTCCTAAATATCTCACAGATTATTTCCACTTATATGGAGCCAGAGAGAAATATTTGTTTAAAAAATTGTTACTTTAAAAATAGAAACAGCATCACCAATAGGGCATTATTGAACTATGGTCCAAGTATACAACAGAAAGCAACATAGAAATTCAAAATTTCTATGTATGCATTGATGTGTATGCACTGATAATACTAAGTAAGATGCCCACATGACGAAGCACAGAACAACGATAGTAATATAGCAAGGCCCCTTTTGTGCTTATTTGTTCATAATTGTATATACCTGAAATTACAGAGACTCTGAAAGGACATGCACTAAAATCTTAACAATGTTTACTCTTTAGAAGATAGAATTGGCACTGGTAAGAAGGTCTCTTTTAATTTTCTATTGTATTCATTTTTGTGCCATTTGAATTTTTCTCAACAAACTATTTGTTTTTAATTTCGTCATCTTTTCAATTTAGAGGAAAATGTTTTAAAGACTAGATTTACATGCATATCCATACTCACTTTTCCATATTTCTTTCTAAATTTTCCCCCAGGAAAGTTTAAGACCTGGCTGAACCTTGAATCTGCCCTCCATTCTTAGTTTATCTTTCTTTTCTGGTAAGCTTGTAGAGAGAGGACTAAAATACGGGCCTATAGACCACATGAAGTTAGGAGAGGGTGATCTTGTAGTCATTTTATTTGACACTCAGGGATCCTGCAAATGCTTGATCTCCCTTCCACAGCCTCAGAATCTAAAAGGCACAGTGGCTGTTGCTGGCTCAGCTGTCTTCCCATTGGGCCCTGCCATCTCCGCTTTGCCATCATCACCTGTCATCATAGCTACAGTTGTCCTTTTCTCCACTGGGCACAGATTCATCTTTACAAACCAGTATGGGGTGGCTCGCATGGAGCAGAAGCTGTCATTTGTGGTGAGTGTCATCATTACTAATTCAGGAGTTGGGCCATAGCAGCAGCACCACCCTCACCCCTAGCCCAGCTCCCCACCCTACACACACATACCTACTAGTACTTGGCCCTCACTCAAGCTCTCCTCTTAGCATCTTCAACTTGGCCTATACAGAATTCCCAAGTGACTCATGTGTTCCCAGGTGTGACCTCTCACTGTCACATCCGTTTCACTCATTCATTCATTCACTCCACAAATACTATTATCCACTATTTGCCTAACACAATCATCAAAACATTGGCAGCATTAAAAACCTTTTTATAAATCTCAGGCAACCACAAAATAATCCCAAGATTCTTGCCCTTTCTTCAGGAAATTTCTTGCTTGAACCACTTCAGAAAGAGAAGTGCACTGCCACAACCCCTGGCCAGGAATCCTGGTTCAAGGACACAATGTCAAACTGGGGTTTCTACAGTGGCAATTCTCAAAGTTATTATGTATCAGAATCATTAGGGAGCTTGCGTTTAAAAAAATAATAATGCAGATCATCAGGTCCCAGAGGGTCTGATTCAGTTTACCTGGGATGGAGTCTAAAAATTGTATTTTTTAACAAACTTCCAGTGATCCTGCTATGAGTGGCACACAGGTCGGTCACACTTTGAGAAATTCTGGTCTCCTGTTTAATCCAATCTAGTTCAAGAACTTCCTGTCAATACTTGACAACATCTGGGAAAGTATATATTTCCTCCCACCCTGGAATTTGCTCCTGATAATTTTTCTTGCCTAAACCAGAACAATATGTTTTTTCCCCAACAGTCTCAAACCTTTCCTTCTGCCGATTTGTTTGCTCATTTATTCAAAAGGCACCCCTTAAGCCCTTCTCTGCCTACAGCATTCATTTGCAGTAGTTTGGATATTTTGGATCTTCTCTATGAACCTACAGTTTCTTCCTGAACTTGGCATTGTGCTCCTTTCTTATTTTCATACATTAGAGAAAAAAAAAACAAATTAATGGCCTCTTCCCCCACCCTTTCCCTTCACCCCCTGTGAGGAAAAAAAAAAAAAAAAACCCAACTACTCTTGATTAGAAACATAAAAATGTAAATAAATACATGGCTCAAGGCATGAAAAGTCCAAGTATTACCTTGCTCAGCAGGCTGCCTAGGCAAAGTGTTGGGATGTCTGTAATTCAGTTGATATTATTTGATACCAACAAGAGAGCAAAGTGTATTCTTCTCTCCTTCCTTGCTCTCCTGTCCCTCAGAGCAGGCTGCTGCATTATTTATCAGCCTCCACTGTCCTTCCCAGCCTCCCCCACCACGGAGGGCTAACCACAAAAGATGGCAGCCAATCACAGGCCAGGAGCCCCCAGCTCCAGCTGGCACCTGGCTCTCAGGAAGCTTTGCTGGGGGACCTGAGTGTAGAACCAAACACGGGTCTATGCTGGAGCATTGCCAAAACTGCTAGTTTGCTCATCAGGACTGTTTTGTTGGAAATGATCTTGCCAGTATAAGCTCTGGCTTCTGCCAAGGTTTATCCCTCTGTGCCTCAGTATCCTGCTCTGTAAGATGGAAATACTAACAGTATATACCTCAAAGAGTCAATGAGGTTATACACTGAGAGTTATGGTAAACACTTGAGACAATGTCTACCCTTAGTAGATATTAATCAAATACTAACTATACAAGAATTTTTTATTGTTATTTTGAAATGGCATCCAAATCACCTCAGCATCCTTCTATCTGGTCAATTCTCAGTCAGGGAAGGTTGTGCTCCTTGTAACAACACTTAAACATTACTAGAGTGTTTAAGTCAACAGACTTGGATTTAAATCTTGCCTCAGGTGATTGATGTCTCAATCTCTTCATCTACAACCTAGGATTGATAGTATTAGCCTCTAGTTATTGAAAGCAATAGATGAAGCTTCTAAGTACTTTACATGTCATTTTCACCACAGTTCTGCACTTTTGATATTCTTATCTCTAAAGAGAAGCAACAGAAGTTTGGAGCAATGGAGAACTTGCCCGTGGTCACACAGCCACTGCATGGTGAAGGCGGGGTGGGCTTCCAAAGCCTGTGCTCTTAATCACGCCACTCTACTATAAAAGGAGAATACTGAAGGCCATTTACATAGTGTGAGGATGACTGAAAAATGAACTTCAGTAAACCTAGCACAGTTTGTGTTTCAAATCCCCTTGATAATTCTCAAACCAGCTTTATCCTCCAAAGTACTCCTGTGTTCAGATAATAGTTAGGGATTGCCTTGCTCTCACTTGGTCCTCAGCACAAACTGTCAAAGAGGCAGGTGCAAGGATTACTCCGAGAACTTCCGCCTTTATTAGATATCCCTGTTAGATCCCCGCTGTTTTACAGTTGGGCCGGTCCAACCACACAACAATCCTAGGGACACAGCTTTGGCTTGGTAAGCTCAAGACAGGGCAGAAGCCATCGCAATAACATTGAGAGAGAGAGGAACTGGTCTGGGGCTTCTAGGAGCTTCAGTGTTTTTATACCCAAAGGGATGGAGCCTTCACCTGAGGTTCACGTGATACTGAGAGACTGGGCAGGTGCAAACAGAACGTTTCCTGAAGACAGTGCCTATGTTCAAATCAGCAGAAAGCAAGGCCCCCAGAATGTGCCTTGATGTCCTTTTCATACAGTGGGGTCCAGTAGAGAGGAGTCACAATGTGTCTGACATGGAAGAAGATGCCCTTCTCATTCATCTTCCCACGCTCCAAAACCCTGCATCTCTACTGAACTCAGCAAAAGAAAAAGAAAGGGCTAGGTTTTCTTGCTTCACTTTGAAGATACAGGAAAACAGGAATATCTTACAGAATTGAAACAAAGCAGCAAGTTCCAGCTTTGAAGGATCAGGCTTCAGTTCATAGACTGACTTAGAAGTTAAGTGAAACAAGAGTGACCAACCATTCCAGTTTGCCCAGGGACCTTCTTGGGTTTAGCCCTGAAAGTCCAAGGCAGAACAGGGTCTGTTGGTCACCCTTCAGGCCCAAACCGGAGTGAGAAAATTTCTCTGAGCTCAAAAATTCATAAATAGGAGCATTTTCAATTTTTCTTGGGAAAATTAGATTGTTCAAAGAGACTCCTCAAAGAACATTATCCAGGCCATGGGGTGCAGGGGTATGACAGTCAGACCAGATAATGGGAGAGTTTCTCTCTCTCTCTGTCTCTTTCTCTCCTTTTTTTTTTTTTACCATATTTACCATAAATTTTTGTATTGTTTAATTTTTTTATCAGTCATGTGTTACTTTTACAAATAGAAAAAACACAAGATTTACAAATAAATAAATTAATAATGAATTTAAAACAAGACAAAAATATTGGGTGCATATGAAGATAAACTCTTCTAATCGTTTTGTTTTATAAAAGTCTAGATTTGTATACATCAGATTCTTCAAGGGCAGAATTTCCTGTTCTTCCCCATTACACCTGGGACCTCTTTCTCCCATCCATGTCGAAATCACATTACTGTCACCTGTCCCCTGCTGTGAGATAATACCTCTATTGGATCACCAAGAAAAACAAGCTGAGCAATGGGTTCTTGCCCCTCTTCCTGGTCCCTAAAATTCCACCCACTGTTCTTGTTTCAAATCTTTCCCACATAACGAATTTCACCTGGAGCAACCTTTGACTTCCATCATAAAAGAGCTGCCTGAGATTCCATGTTGTTCTGGGCAAATTAAAAATAAAGCACCGCTGACAGATCTTGACCAAATTTAGTAACCGGAAAAGAATGAAAAGGGCAAAGGAGAGTTTGGACAATTGGATGCCAGGTTGCAGCTTTGAGCACAGCCCTCCCGCTGAGTGATTAGCTGTGGTTAATCTGAAAAGTACCTGCAGACCCAACACAAGTCTGACACCCACTGGGCACATACACCCTGCTGTCTCTCCCTGCACCTGCCTCTCCATCCAAGCCCCAAACCCTCCTTAGCAGGTTGCCTACACTTATTCTCCTTGGCTCCCTGCAGACCCTTTTAAGAGACCTTTTCAATTTCAATTTCTTCCCAGATAACTATGAGCTCCAATTGCTGATATCAATCAAAATCTACTATTGCAGCTGTGGTCTGAGTGTGTGAACACTGTATTTTGTGCTCTTATCATAATCCAGCAGATGCTGTTTACTAACATTGTGATTACAAATATAAGCATGTATCTATATATCTCCAGCTAGCAAAACTCTTGTCTTCTAATACCAAATTGGATGCCAAAGCTAGAAGAGAACTTAGAGGTTATCTGACCCAATGGATGCATTTTATAGGTGAGAAACAGTCCCTGCAAGACAAAATGTTCTATTCAATGTCATAGGAGGGAATCAGTAGAAGAAATAGCATTAAAAACCTGGCCTCCCAAGTACCAGGACGAGGTTCTTTCCACCACACCGAAAAAGGAGCATCCCTCTCTCGAATGCCATCTTGCTTCTCTTAGCCTAGAAAAACACTCGAGTTGGTGACGAAGCAGAATCTTAACAGGTCGTCGCTAGATTAGAGCCTTCAGTGATATGTAAACTTGACACAGCACTGGTAGAGCCAGGAGCCCCACACGCTCATTTCTCCCCCACTTCCCCAGTCTTGAAATTGCTTTCTAATTAACTCGATGTAGATTATCCCTGTTAGTAAATTTTCTAATGCGTTATTAATTGCTCTAAACGTCAGCTGCAGTTCATTCCCCCACAAACTCAGGAGTGCCACCACTGACTTTCTGATATTAGCGAGGCTGTTTTCTAAACAGCTAGTGCCATCGTGTGGGCAAAAAGTCTGTATCATTAAGCTATCAGAAAAAGGTCAAGAATTTATTGAATCTGTGAACTGGTTTATAAGGAATCATACATTTGGTTCTCGTCTGTTCTCCCTTATCCCAACTTCTATCTTCCCTCCCCAAACCTTCCACCATTGCCTACCTCTTAGGAATCCCCCATAATTCCTATAGACTATGAAACAGCATCAAATGCTTAGACAGCCAAAGTAATTTGCTCAAGACCCCACACCTAATTAACTCCAATCTTCCACTGAAGTCAAGAGTCCAATATGGAACTCTAGTCTCACTATTTTGCTACTGCTAACTGGTCCCAGAAAATACATAATAAATGTCTTCTCCTCATTCCTCAAACAAGTGAAGACATGGGGACCACGTCTCTGTGAGAGAGTTTAGGGAATTGAGAAGTGAAGTCCAGAGTTCAGGACTCTATCAGACATCATTTCAAATTTAGGGACATCTGTTTCATCTTCAATCCCCAAATATAGAAAGGCATTTCTTTCCTCCTCATTATTTAGCTGTATGCAGTCTAAGAATGAGTTCAAACACTGATGGAGGATGAATTTGACCTAAATTTCTCAGGGCTAGAATTCAAGTTTGAGAAATGAGCTTTCTCAAGGCGAGAGTAAACATAATGGCCTGAAATGACTAACTGCAGAACAGCACTAAATATCTTTACAAAAAGCCAGATTTGGGGAACTGCCCGAACCTCTATAATTTGGGGGCTCCCAAACTTTGCAATAATTTTTGGAAGGTGAGAAAAGGATACTTTTGAACAAAGGGCTTTAATTGTAATTTAACTAAACTGTGTTTCTATTTATAGTTACTAAGGGGCTTAATTTTCTACATAATGAAAACAATTGCTACGTTTTCATGAATTTTAATTAAAAACTATATTCCTTTTCAAGTTATGAATAGTGGTTCTGGAGAGATGGAAAACTATAATCAACTTCTAGTTATTTTTGTGCAAAAATCTGCCATTGAATTGTCTATAACACACTCCACCTCCCCCCCCAAAATTATAATTTAATATGTGATTTAAACGTTTATCTTGTTAAAAAATTTTCCTGGGACATTGCTCCCACTCAAATAAAGAGTACCATTTCTAAATGCAGATAAAATTCTACTTTACTATTTGCTTACGGACAAAAGTCTTTATCTTTATTTCCATATCTGGGGATGGCCACTAGTACTAATAATTTATTTATTTCATTATATAAGCTTCTATACAGACCAGTCTGGAGTCTACTTTTTTCCACCTACATACCAATTTTAAAAAGTGCCTTCATGACACATAAGGGGAGACTAGCTGAGTTGAGCTTTAGCTGAGATTTGACATGTTTCGTACTTCTGTCAAAGAATTTACCCACATTCTCTTCACGCCTCCCTCAACATTTTCAATCTCCGGAATGCCCTTTGCCCTCCCCCTCACCCCAGAAAAAATCACCAACTATAAAAAAGCCATATTTATCTTT